TCACTCTCACACACACACACACACACACAATAACTTAATTTAGTGATATTTGCAATGGTTTTGTACTGAGATGATGATATTTGCTAAAGCCTATCCCTCACACAAACCTGTTGATATTAGTGCTGTAGATCAAATAAAACATGATTTAGCCAATTCATTACACTTTCATATAGTTAAGGGCCACTTCAGATGCCTTCATAAGTCAGCTTCAACAACATGTCCATAAATATAGTAGACATTTTAATGAGGAGAGCATTCCATATTTTATTCCACATTCCAGTTTATTTATTACCACATAAAGCTATAAAGACTACTGATCTACCTGTAAAAGAAAACCAAAGCCAGGACTGTTACAAATGGTTAAAAAGTTACCAACACAGGCTTCTGGAAAACACTATTATTTTTATTAGTAGACTAATAAATTCTGACATTTTGCTTCTGCTCCTCTCTAATGCTCTTCGCAGAGTTCAATGTGACGGGGTTTTTGAGTCTGTCCTCCAGTGGGTGCACATCTGATTGCAACAACACCGCTGGAAGCATCCTGGGTGCGGGATACACGGTGACCAAAAGCTGCTGCGCTGTAAATCTGTGCAACGGAGCGAGTGCTGCACAGCTGTCTGTGGCTGGGGCTCTCAGCGCCGCACTGCTGGCCTCCGTCTGGAGCAACTCCATGCTGTAGATCTAACACCTCCATGTCTGTGCAGTGTTATGTTCACAGTAACTCCCTGAACTGGAACCAGTGAAGATATCATCTCTAGAATGTATAGATACCATAACTTTGATTGTTTACTCCACTGTGTTTATCGGTCACATTATCCCACTTTTCTTATAAACATTTAATTACAATGTAAAACATATTTAAAATTTCAAAACTTTTGCTGAAGTTTTTTTTTATTTTTTATAAAAACCTACATTTGGATGCACACTGTGGAATAAGGTGATGATATATTTGAAGTGGAGCTGAATAAATTTCACAGCAGTGACTCTGTGTTAGGTACTGTACTTTTACATTTACTAGTAAATGATGACAACTATCCCCTGACTTTATATATATATTCAAGCACATTGTAACATTAGACTAGATTAATAAATATAAACTGAAAAAAAACCCTGTTATTTCAGTTATGTTTTTGTTAGTATTACAGTTTTTGCCTATTGCTTGAACACTTTTTGCAAAACTTCGGCTCATTGTGTCAAAACTTTACAGACAAGCACACAAGACACAACACTGGGAAATAAACCATTCACATCTATGTCGAATTGAAACTCTGCTATCAAAACCTAACAATCCTTTGTCAAAATGTCACTCTGATGACAAAATGATACACACTTGCATCATATGAATACACTTTCAGATTAGCAGCAACACACTAGTGTACTTTATATAAAACACTGCAGTCTTTAATTTTCACTGTTTTTATTCAGTTCATCAGTTAGCATTCTGTGAAGCTCAATGCAACACTTACAGTTTTTGTTCTGTTTTTTTCCAACAAAGGTTTTCACAACAACCAAAAATGAAAGTACTGAAAGGTTACAAATGACATCAACTCAATACTGCACATCACAGTACTATACTTTACAGTACAGTACAGTAAATGCAGTAATGCAAAAAATAATACAAAAATAAAACACAAAATACACTACTGTAAATACAGAAAAACAGGCCAATTGTGCGTGGGTGGGATTACAGATCCTGCAGTCTTGTTTGGGTCTGGCCACAGGATCTCATCAACGTCACAAGCGATATTTTCTCCTGCTAAGCAACGGGGAAAATAACTCCTTGTGTGCCGAATCCATCCATGGATTGACGTTACCTCAATGTATCCGCATGCCTCTTCCATAGCCTGTAGAAGAGGCATGCGGGCATGTGGTTGGCGTCTGAATGTCCTTATGATGGATGCAACTGTGAACCGGGTTAGATGTGGGTGGACTCTCTGCCCAGCTTCCCTCATTGTCAGGCCATGATTTATCACATGATCCACCAACGTTGCTCTAATATCATCTGAAATATTGTTCCGTGCATAGCCTCTTCGACCATGTCCTACTCCTCTCTCTCTTTGTCTTCCTCTTCCTCTGCCTCTACCTCTTGCGTTCTCAAAATGGCTCAACTGAGGCCTTATTTGTGGTTGGCTGATTGGTGATCAGTTTTGTAAGTAAGTGTTTTCAGGTATGTGTCTAAAGCCCTATTCGCACGGGATTAGTATTACTTGGTGACCTCCAGTCATTTGTAATAATTGCGGAGGTTGTCTGTGATCTTAATCCCTTAATCTTCAATCACCCAATGTGTTTTGTATTTTGAATAGATGTGTTTTCCCAATGGTACCCATGAGATTTCATTTATGAACGAAGTGTCTTATGTATGAAATAGTGTGTAGTGTGCAGGAGCAAGTGTGTTGCAGAATTGCAACTGAAGTGCAAAGCAGCGCTTTTGT